CGTGTCGGCTCTGGCTGCACCAACTTTGAAGGTCGTGTCGGATCTAGCTGCACCAACATTGAAGGTCGTGTCGGCTCTGGCTGCACCAACTTTGAAGGTCGTGTCACCTCTGGCTGCACCAATTTTGAAGGTTGTGTCACCTCTGGCTGCACCAACTTTGAAGGTCGCGTCACCTCTGGCTGCACCAACTTTGAAGGTCGCGTCACCTCTGGCTGCACCAACTTTGAAGGTCGCGTCACCTCTGGCTGCACTACCTTTGAAGGTCGTGTCTTTTCTTGCTGTTGTACTGGCTACAAACAGAATGGCAGCTTTAACATTTTGACTTGCTTTTAGGAATACAGCGACTGCCAATATATCAACATCTGAGAACGTTGTGAGACAAGACAACACCACGTAATACTTTCACTCGAATTACGGCAAATAATTGTTTGCTCCAGGAATTTTCCCCTTGATCACGAAAAAACATTTTGCATGGATTTTTTTCTCCGGAGAATCACCACAAATAAAATCACCTTAAAATTCGTCTGCACATCTGTAGTCTTGCCCGTATCCTTGCTCTGCTCTGCCTCAGCGTGACGTTTCCGCCACTCAGAGGGCTTCACAATCTGATCATTCTGAGCATCTCTCTTCCACCACATCTTGTCCTGACCATTCTCTGCGCAACAAACACACGAGACAAGCTGTGTATACAGGCAAACAGTGAAACGACGTTTCAACGACAGATTTCAGTGAGAAGTGATTGAACGACCATCGACGTAGGTAGTCACGGCGGTTTTTCTTCAGGAACAATGTTCAAAGATCCATACCGGTGTGTGGCTATACACCGCGACACGGTGAATTCCAGTGTCTCGTGCATGGACTTACAGGTGACCATGACCATTAACCTACAGCTGCTTATGTTACCACGTCAGAAAATAATGTTGCCACATCGGACTAGTGCAAAGCACTTGTACATGAGGCAACAGCACCCAGACTCCTAATACAAACAAAGCTGCCCATAGCACATAGTACTGTTCACACGTTTACATTACACGTTTGCACGCACCTGCATGTAAACTGCAAGATTAATGGCAGTAACTGACCATTAACTGACCACTGACATTACGTAACCACGTGTGCTTGTATATCTATATCAACCCCCCCCCCTCCCCCAGAATTCTCATAACCACATAACTACCATAGAGCAGAGAAGCCCACCGCAGTACAGCGATTAGGCGACCTATGGAATATGAAGTCCCCTGGGGGGTGGACGTACCTTGCACGCCGGTCTTCTCCGGCTGCTTGCCCGCCTTCAAGTCGGAGCGCCAGCTGGTGGCATCCCTGTCGCGAGACCCGCTGCGCTGAGATCCCTCTTCACCGGTTGTCTCTGGTCCTGCCTTCACACTGCATCGCCCACACAGATCAACCACATTAGATGCTACTCCCTGACCACTGTGTGTGGTAACGTGCACAGTGGATGGCAGGTTAAACTCAATGATCACCACATAGCACACATAAATATTTTAAACTGAAATATTATCATAAAAGTTGGCCGTGAAATTCGAAACTTCTGAACGTTTAATTTATGTGCGTTTTAGAATATATGAAAAACTTTACAAGCGAGCAGCCTCAAAACTAGATATCTGTCTATACCAGGGTAAAATATACATGGGAGCGATGAGCAATTCGCTCTTCAAACCTGCGAAATCGCTCCCGTGAGGCTCAAAATAGCTCCCGTAAAAATTTTGACGAGAGCTATTTTTCCCCCAGACGTTTGAAAAAGAGCTCCCATGAAAAAAAAGTTATTTTTTCCCTGGTCTTATACTCTTAACTTACTATACTCTTACTCTAACTTCTTTTATCCATAGATTGAAATTTAACAAAAAAAACAACAAGCACTCAAAACAACGAATCAAACAAACAAACAAACATGCACACACAAAAAAACCTGATAAACAACAAACCCAAACAAACAAACTGGCATGTAAACTAAACACGTCAAACAACTCACTCAGTCAAACAATCCAAATTAACCCACATCAGAAACACAGAAACAAAACCCGACGAACAACAAACTCTACCAAAACAAACAAAACAAAACAAATTGGATGACAACAACAACAACAAACTCTACCAAAACAAACTGAACAAAACAAATTCGATGACAACAACAACAACAGCAACAACAACAACAACAACAACAACAATCACAACAACAACAATCACAACAACAACAACAACAACAACAACAACAACACCGACAAACACTCACCGACTCGTCTCGGTGTCCGGCGGCGCCCTCTCGGCGGCGCGCGCAGGCCGGCGCGTCAGCTTGTCGGGGCTGAGCGACTCGCGCTCGCTCGGCGACGACGATCGGGACGAGCGCGGTGAGCGCGACGCCGAGATCGCAAAGTTGCGGCGAATCGGCGGGCTCGAGCGGTAGCTGGGGCGCGCCTGCTGCTCGAGCCGTTCGAACATCGCGCGCGTTGACTGGAAGCGGCTCACGTGGTTCAGAGACTCGAGCATCTTGGAGTCGGGGCAGTTCGCGGCGACCCTGCAACAATGTGGCACGAGACATCGCGCATTAGTCATCCACACGCCACACCGCGTGATACGTCACAGATTTAACGTCACACTGCCCGGCACGTCACACGTAACAGATTCAACGTCACACCGTGTGATACGTCACAGATGTAACGTATGTCACACTTCATGACACGTAAAAGATTTAACGGCACACCATGTGATACGTCACAGATTTAACGGCACACCGCGTGATACGTCACAGATTTAACGGCACACCGCATGACACGTCACAGATTTAACGCCACACCATGTTATACGTCACAGATTTAATGTCACACCGAGCAATACGTCACACCGAGTGATATCGTACGTCACATATTTAACGTCACATTGCTTGATATGTCACAGATTTAACGTCACACCATGCAACACGTCACAGATTTAAGATTGCACTGCGTGATACGTCATAGATTTAACGGCACACCGCACGATATGTCAAAAATAAAACTGACAGCATAAGTACTTCTGTGTCGGTTTGTCTTGCTAACTGCGTGACTTCATATATATATATACATTCAGATTACAGGGACGTTATCATATTAATTGCTTAGCTCGATCACTACACATAAACCTAATCTTTTATTGCATGTGAACGCGCATATAGTATCATTTCTCGTTATTTACATCAATACTAGCTTACGTGTACGATTACAGCGACTGCACGTCGTGTAATAAATTCTATGTGATATATGTGCGAGTAAAGCCCACGGGGCGAGCTA